GTCACTCGTGAATATGAATTATGTACACATTTGTAACTACTAGAGGTCCCGCAGTTGTCGAAATTCGACTATAATTAATTGGAATTGTAAGTTTGTACACTATTATGATTGTATTTTATACTTCTATAATCACAAATTTCGCCAAGACTACACTATAAAAAATATTAACAAAGGCAAACAATATTTAATCCATTCTCAATTTGACAACAGACGTCAAGAACAAATGTTTGACAATAAATAGTATGCATGCGTGTGTGCGTCAAATACATGGTATGTAGTGTGTGCAATGTTTTCTTTATAGATTTAATGTATCTTTTATGCATTATTTAAAAAAAATATTAGCATTGTGCACTCCTTCTCTATATTCTCTATAAGTGTAAAAAATTTCATACTCCTCCGTCCGCGCAATTTTCGTAAAAAGGGATACAAAGTTTTTGCTTCACGTATTAATATATAGATAATCTGGAAGCTAAATTAACCTATATTCTGAAACTACAGCGCTTCTTGGCCTTGCTGTAGATACAGGGCCGGACTTAAACTTAATGCCGCTCAAAGTCATCGTGGCCTAACGGATAAGACGTCCGATGCATTCGTGTTGAGCGATGCACGGGGGTTCGAATCTCAGGCAGGTACCAATTTTTCTAATGAAATACGTACTCAACAAATGTTCACGATTGACTTCCACGGTGAAGGAATAACATCGTGTAATAAAAATCAAACCCGCAAAATTATAATTTGTGTAATTACTAGTGGTAGGACCTCTTGTGAATCCGCACGGGTAGGTACCACCGCCCCGCCTATTTCTGCCGTGAAGCATTAATGCGTTTCGGTTTGAAGGGTGGGGCGGCCGTTGTAACTATACTGAGACTTTGCTTAGATGGGTGGACGAGCTCACAGCCCACCTTATATTAAGTGGTTACTGGAGCCCATAGACATCTACAACGTAAATGCGCCACCCACCTGTGGGCTGTGAGCTCGTCCACCCATCTAAGCAATAAAAAAATAAAAAATAAAACCTGGACACCGGAAAAAAATCCGCCCCAATACAGGAATTTTACCTAAACTTATAGTTTATTTATTTTATTTTTCAAAATTAAAATAACTAATTTATTGCAAAAACTATCATAAATGTCATATAATCCAAAAACATAAATATTTGTTTTTTTTAACAATTATAAATTTTTACTAAGGGTCACTCATAATTTTATTACATAAAAAAAAACTAATTAAATTTCTTTAATTACAGAAAATAGAAAAAAATCGGTTATTATTTTAAATCTCCAAGGAAATAAATTGATTAAATCGTTTTGATTATTATTTTTTACCAAAAGTGCTTACCACAAGCGTCGTTTGAAGAAGGACATGTCATAGCACTCGGGAAGCACCGTAGAGGGGAGCTCATTCCAAAAAATAATGTAAAGGTTCCAAATTTTTCTCATTACCAATTGATAATACTCTACAGTTGCTATTAAGAAATGTACTTAGGAATTATATTTTTTTTTATTGCTTAAATGGGTGAACTAGCTCACAGCCCACCTGGTATTAAGTGGTTACTGGAACCCATAGACATCTACAACGTAAATGCGCCACACCTTGAGATATAAGTTCTAAGGTCTCAGTATAGTTACAACGGCTGCCCTGCCATTCAAACCGAAACGCATTACTGCTTCACGGCAGAAATAGGCGGGGCGGACCACCGCCTCACAAGCGGCGGACTCACAAGAGGTCCTACCACCAGTAATTACGCAAATTATAATTTTGCGGGTTTGATTTTTATTACACGATGTTATTCCTTCACCGTGGAAGTGATCGTGAACATTTGATAAGTACGTATTTCATTAGAAAAATTGGTACCCGCCTGAGATTCGAACATCGGTGCATCGCTCAACACAAATGCACCGGACGTCTTATCCTGTAGGCCACGACGACTTAAGACTAAGACATAGAATTAAGATTAAGACATGAAATTTATTTTCATTGAAAGATTATTTATTTCAAAGCAAAATGAAACCCGAAAATCATTACACAAATAATTTATTACAGTTGTTACCACATCTTTCCCTTTTATTACAGACATATAAAAATATCAAATATCATTATTATTGCAAGCTAAATTATTTGTTATTACGCTCATCATTACAGATATAAACAGGCTAATTTAAATAAAATATTATGTACAATTTACAAAAAAAGCATTTATTAAGCTGAGTTATTAAGTTATTCAAGTCTAAAACTTATTTTAAAATTTAAAAATGAAATTTTCAAAAGCATAAGTTTTAAAATGTCGGAATAAAAACCTATTATATTTCTTTTTGATTTTTTAACTGAAAATTAGTTAAGATGTTTATTAAGCTTTCCAAATGAAATGATACAAAGTGATATATAAAAAAGATATATGTTATATTTTTTTGTAATAAAAATAGTTAACTATGTTATAAACTGTAATTAATTTATTATTTTATTAGTTTCACTGTTTAGAAACAGAGTAGCGTATTTTCGCTTAACTAAAAATACCGCCTAAGTCAATATGCATTTTCAAACCGCAGAAAAAAAAAACTAAATATCTTCTGAGACCTTTGCCAGATTTGGATAATGTGTCAAAATGGTTAAAATAACATACCGTTTACATAATATTTACGAAAGCATCACAAGAATCTCAGAAACTACTTAGATTTTCCTTTATCTCTATATATAAAAATGAATTGCTGTTCGTTAGTCCCGCTAAAACTCGAGAACGGCTGGACCGATTAGGCTAATTTCAGTCTTGAATTATTTGTGGAAGTCCAGAGAAGGTTGAAAAGGTAGATAAATATGAAAATGCTCGGAATTAAATAAAAATAACAATTTGTTTTCCCTCTGATGTGTCCCCCGTAGGACGGATTCCTTTTGTTTCTTTTAAGTTTATTTTATACAAATGATTAGGCCTTTTATTTATCGATTGAGGCATTACGAAGTCTGCCGGGTCAGCTAGTCAATAATAAAACTTTGTTCGACGGCGCCAAACAACCTTAAAAAATTCAATAGCAATCATGCGTTCCGATATGGACAGTCGCATATAACAAATCTTAGGCTTCGAGTTCATGCCTTAAGATGAGTAGAGTGATGAGAGAGAAAGAATGTAGAGCAAAAAATAAATAGTTCAGAAATTGATTAAAACACAGTTCGAAAAGTTTATTGGTCTTGTACTGGCTGATATTTTACTATATCTTGTTCTACAATTTAAACTATATTTGTGTTGATACCATCATACTATCTTTCTTGTATTGCCGATAAATCATTTCAGTAGTAAAAGTACTACTTAATATACTAGACTTTGCAATAATTAAAATTTAGTCGTAACTAGCAAACGAAATTTTAATTTTTGATCTACCGCTGTCAAAGAAAGACTATGAGCATTTGGCCTGCCTGATAGTAAGTCGGTATCGCAAACCACGGACGTAAAAGCAGTCAATATCTTTTGTTAACTGTGGGAACTAAAAAAAAAAAAAAACTACAAAATTACGTTTCATTTTTAAATATAAAAATTAAAACACTGAATTATTAACTATGATTTTATCAAAATCAAAATAACCATTCATTTAACGAATTTAATTTCTATTCAATTAAATCCATGAATTTAGCATTAACGAAACTGTTTCAAATAAAATATATTATATAATAATTATTTTTTGCAATCTCAAAGGAATTGAGGACTTCTTTACATTTATCTACAAAAACATTTATCTACCAGCATTATTTTTCAAATAATTTTACTTTAAATAAATAAACTAATATAATACATCTACATATATACGGACCATTAATTTCACTGAAAGTTAAAATAAAACACTTGAGTCATTTTAAAGGTTTGTTTCAACTTTTTTATTTAACTTTCGTTTTAAAATCCTTCGGGTTTTGTTACGATCGTGAATGTTTCGCGGGGCAGATCCTGAATCGATTCGCTTTTTTACAAAACAATAACAGCAAATAAATAAATAAAAGCAGAGTTCTCTCGAAGCAAGCGAGCACGTGCGAAATGGCACATGTATTTAGACTTAAGATTATAGGCGTAACTTAAACTAACAGGGTGTGTCCGGCAGGCAAGCGACAGTAGGTGACGTCACTGTGTATTAAACACAGCTGTTTGTACTGTTTATTGCCTTATACAACATTATATTCGAAGTCGACTTATTGATAAAAACTGCTTTCAGACTATGCTATAATATAATAGCATATAGCTCATAGCACAACAATATCGCACACCATTAATTATTATGGACACGTTCATACTACTGTACTATATATTATTGGCTAAGTATAGGCTGCTATACTATATGGCAATAGTATAGCGTAGTCTGAAAACAGCTTAGCGTTTCTTATACACTATTTATCTACACTAGAGGCATAAAAGTCGGACATCTGTGATTTCAACTATTCAAATTATAAAAATATAAATTATTGTTTGTGTATTTGCTTATCAGCAATGCATTCCTAAAGTCCAAACTGATTGTGATGAAACATAATACGACTTAGTAGCGGTAGCAGATATCAGGTCGTGAAATTATATTTAACAAGCGGCCCGCTCCATATTTGACGTAGTTTTATTTTTTTAAATAAAAGAACACTTATTGCGGCATAACTATAATAATTATTAGACATATGCTGTCGCGACATTTTTTGTAAATAATAATGTGTTCTACAAAGTCGTACTACACTATTTTATTCTATCATCAATAGTTTTCGCAGGGCACACGATGTAAAGAATATTTTGGGTAATTTTTTTACGCCTTGGTTTACGTTATTGGAGTTTTAGTAAGGATCCCTATTTTTTTTTCAAAAAAGATTATTGTCTTATGTCACTCGGGAATGGTGTAGCTTCAAAACAGTGAAAGATTTTTTCAAATCGGTTCTGTAGTTTCGGAGCCTATTCAATACAAACAAATAAACAAATCTTTCCTGTTTATAATATTAGTATAGATTAGAATTGTTGTTGTCACTTCCGGTAAAGTCATAGTGCCGTGCAGTAACGACAGATGGCGCGCGAATAATCTCAAGATATCGACGGTTTTCAGAAAAGCAACGATAGTCACAGTGGAGAGTGACCGGGTCTTACTGTGTATATAGATCTATATAATAAAATTTAACCGGGTAATTTTTGAATAAAGTATCTTTCAGTGACATACCTAAAAATTCACACAAACTGCACACGAATGTAAATACACATGGATTTTATTTTAAACAGATCCGTACCTATGCCTCTATTGTAGGAGTTCATTTAGAAAAGTCAAATAACTTTAAAACATTTTGTATTTATATAACATATTATATTGATTTTTGATAAAAATAATTGAATTTACGAATGAAAAACTTCTGAAATTCCTTTTCAGTCACATGACGAATTTGACAGCCTTTTTTCCCTTTCCGCCTTTTTTCCTAATTTTTGTGATAAATATGAGGGGTGAACGAGTTTATAGCTCTCTAATGCTAAATTGTTACCTCAGCCCATAGACAACAGCAAAGGTGCTGCCCAATTCAAGAATGACTCGTAAAATTAGCATCCTAGTTGCATTAATACAATAAATCACGTAATAAAATTAATACAAGAAATAAAAGCTTAGCTTTAAGCCTGAAAATTTAAAGGCAACAGATTTGTTAACGAAAATTTACATTATTAAATATCTTACATATACAGACAGTTGAAAGAAGTTACTATATCTACTGCAAATTTTATCATTTTATAAGAAAATTAAATTAGGAATAAACTAAGCGTAAATTAACTGACATGTAAACCCATTATCGTTTGCCATTCAAAAAGAAAACTCTAGGCTTTGATCAACGTTCTCTTGAAGATTACAAGAAGAAAAGATCAAGAACTTGTTTTTTTTAAGACAAATCTAATATTTTTACATTATTAAAACTAATATTAAATATTAAAAGCTAATTGAAGCGCTAAAATCACATCATGTCTCCCACTACGGTATATTTAGTCGGAAATGTACAGAAAAAAAATTAATACCAGATTAAAAAATTTCAAAATTGTCTGATATAATCTGTCACCAAATTTACATTCTGATGTGACTAACAAAGTGATGCGACTGTTTTATTATCTTTAGTTAGCTTTATTACGAATTTCTCATAGTTTATACTTTAAATACCAAAAATATTTCGTTGTCGTCATGAAGAAGAAGAGTATTTAATATATTTCGGCAGTTAAATCAGTACATCAGGCATAAACTAAGAGGAATTCATTACACGGTACAATATAATCTAACCTAATCCGACTATATACATTTTGAGCACTTGCAACACATAGTGCGTACTATGACACTTTCGGAAAAGCTTAAAGTCCAATGACTACATTAACTCCACCGAACATTTGTGAATTGATTAACGAAATTTTGGAGGCGGTATTTTTATATGTATAACAGGTGGCTTCGAGACTACGCGTCAGATGGTTGACGAGGTGCAGGTCTTTAGACACAAGCGTCACAGTTTGTGCCATTCGCAATATTTCACGATTAATCCTAAATGTGAAAAAAAAAAAACTTTTACATACGAACCGTAATTTAGTAACAATAAAATAAATGATACAGGAGATTAGGCATTTCAAAGCAAATTCTAATATTTTTATCAATGATAATACCACATCCAAAATTTTATTACTCAATCACGTATTTATTGTTCACTTTATCCGGAGCCCCCAGAGCCATTCGTGTATACATCCGAGGCCACTTTTGTACCGGCCCGGATTACATTTTGCACTGTTTGGGCAGCCCCCTGGAATTAGCAAAAAAATAATATAATTAATATATGTATTATCAATAGTAAGTACCTTTTATGTTCCGCAAAGTCGGTGAACACTGCACGGTCAAGTGTGTCGTTTAAAATAGAAACTGTCACAATGAACATTGATGTACATAATTATCTGATACATTTAACTTCTAAAATAGAGAAAAGTGAGGATAAAGATAAATTTATAAGGCGTAACAAGATAGGCTTTTTTTGAAACACATACAAAATTGACTACAACTTTTAAAAAACTTTTATTTGGTTTCCAATTGGATTTTTTTTAATATGAGTTGGTTAAAATCAGTTACGTTCAATCGAAGAAAATAACTTGGCAACTAATTTTTTGGTTTTCTTGTAATAAAATGACCGACAAAAATTGAACAACGCCGTAACTTAAATCCATTTGTTAGCAGTCGAACAGAATTGTTAACTTTAACAATAATATTATATTATTACTTTTAGTTTTTGTTAAAGAACAACGCCCCGTCAGTTAATAAAATTCTGTTAAATTATTAATAATTATTAAACCGATAAAAGACACGCTTAGTTAATTAAGTTTGATCGATGATAGAAAGTTTTAGGTTTACTTGCCAATCTCCTGAAAACTCAAATTTATTTATACATAGTAACAGAACAAATGATCAAAATAAAGATAATTTACACTCAAAAAGGAAAACATTGATAAAGAAAATTTTTATTATTCTAAAACATAATAATAACATATAATAATTATTATTTTGACAACTAAAAACACAATACATATGTATACTGTATTTTTTATCAGTTATGACATACATATAATCGTTTATATAGAAATACAGATATGCAATTCTAAAATATAGTAAATCACAACTGTGGCCAATGAGTATAATAGCCGAGATATGCCGTTTTGTGCTAAGGAACAATTAAATCCCATTTGCATAGTAGAAGAATACCATAGTTGCGAAGAAAAAAATAAACACTTCGATCATTCGTCTAAGACCGGAAACAGTATTTAATTTGTCATGTCCATAGCCTCTGACAACCGCTAAATAATACATATAACTTGAATGCGCTTAGAGTATTTATTCCAATGAATACGGCAAATATGATTCTAATATGTCAAATCAAGAGGTACATAAAATACCCTCAACTCAAAGGTAATAATTTAGAAAGATTTATCAATGCTCTTTTCGGATTATATTTGCAAAATTTATTGATTTGAATTTAAAAAAAGTTTTATAAATAAAGAATTTTACACAATTTAAAAAGTCTTTCAACAAGTTTATTTAAGCACTTGGTTGGTGAATCATAAGATAAAGAAAACCCTTCTTTTCTTTACAGGGAAGGGCAGTGGCTATTATACTGTATAACTGAGACTCATGTATAACTCATGTATAAACTCATGTCTCAAGGTGGGTGGTTGCATTTACATTGTTAATGTCTCTGGGCTCCGGTTACATCTTAACAGTGGGCCGTGAGCTCGTCCACATACCATGAAATAAAAAAAGGACAAAAAGTTACAAAAATCTTTATTATAAAGTTTTTTCTCGTAATATTAAATAAATTTATGGTAAACGAAATTTATTCACCTGTATCGCAGCTCCTAGAAACTGTGAGAACGCTCTCGTTACATTTATAGCGGCAGATACAAGCTGCCCCCGACCTGGAGCCTGTCCGGTACCCACAGCCCTTGGGGGTTCCAGAGGTATCTAGAGTAAACCAGATCGATCAGAACTGGGTACAAATCAAAATGATGAAGATGTAAGTGAAATCCAGATGTGACTTAAGATGTACGATTTATTGGAGTGACAGAAACAGGAAAGATTGGTGATGTGAAGTTTCTTGCTTTGAAATTTTAATCAATGTTTTATGGACAAAGTTTGGTAATTCGCTGAGTAAATTACAAAACACGATTTATGTTTAATTTAAGTATCCAAATACATCCCAAGACACGTCTGACGAGAAGCAGCGACAGTAAATATCAATTAACGCATGCTCATAAATACAAATAGCAGTTTTTTTTTGTCTCTATCGTTACGATTAAAATAGTCTCGTCCAAAAAAGAAGTTAGATTTTAGCTTTAATCTTTGAATTAAAAATAAACGTAATATTTCTATAACAAGAATTACACAATTTACTTTTATAGATTTAATGATAAAAAAAAAGCGGAAGTGTATTACATATAAGCTTAAGAAGAAATAGTGAAATAGAAATTGTAAAAAATACATATTATATATACAAAGTATATTTACAAAAAAAAAAATCTTTTGCATGTTTGTACAACGCATGGTTCGGTTTTGTTAAGTCTTGCCACGTATTTCAAGAACTGGTTCGAACTGGTTTATTAAAATATATATAATATATTTCAAAGAAAATTGTCGTTAGAATAGGTAAGTAATAGAAACAAGTCACAGAAGAAGAAAAAAGCGCAGCATAATATATTTCAATGTTTTTCTAAAGAAATCGAATAAATATTAATTTCTACTCACCAAACATCAGAACGGGAATTATCACAAACACAATGTTATTATTTACATAACATGCTTTATCAATGTCAGCAATGGGATTGGTTGGTGGACAGGGATATCTGGTGGATGACTTCGGTAAACACATAGGGATACACCTGATAGTTACAGTCAGTGGTATACTCAATTAATTTTGCCAGGATATATACTTGGATCTAGCTTTTTTATCTATCTATATACAAAAATCATGAAAACAGGGTAATTTTAAAACAATTTAAAAACAAAATGTTAGGCAAGGTCCAAGCTTTATCTGACGAAAAAGCTCTATATACACTCAAAAAACACTACGAGCTGAATCTTCAAACGACAAGTGAAAATAAAACAAATCGGTATTAAACATTTTATTATACAAAAACGCAATGCTTTACGGCACAATATACTTTTATATGTACAAGCCAATGAAGCCAATAATAAATAATTTAAACTACAAAAAAAAACATAAAAAAGTTAAAATCAACGTAATGCTAAGACCATCTTTTATATTTCTCACTATTTACAACCAAAACCTGTATCGACTTTCTACAAAATATACACTCCTTCAGACTTAGATTAAATAGGAACAAGTTGAATATTAATTAGAAACAAAATTATAATTATGGGCTACAAATAATTCGTTGTGTTCGTTCCGATATTATTTAATCTAAGGTCTGAGCACCCCACCTCAACCCCAGTCACACAATCTGAGTAGTAGTGATGAAAAACCCACTCGGTTCGTTGGTCTTTCATCGGCGTTGCCAACAAACGGCCCGGATCCGAACCAGTTGGGTCTGCTACTGGGCTGTAGGGCAGACGCTGATGACGGCGATGGTCTCGCTGAGGGAACGGGCCGCCTGTCAGGTCGCGGAGCTCCGGATTCCGGTCCTGTCTCTCTCCACTGCTGCCACAGCCACGCCAGACCATCCAGGATGGGCCTGCGCGGTGCCGGTGGAGGAGGAAGCGTCGTCGTCGGTCGCCGTGACTTTGGCGTCACTACGACTTGGTTGAGCAAAGCCTACGAGGTTATATTAATGACTAATGTAATGAAAGTTCGCCAATTAATCGTGTATATGAAACGTGTGACACATTTAAAGCAAAATATAGGATAGATGAAGTAAATGATGAATTTAGAAGCATTCAAAGCATTAAGTTACTAGTTATTGATTTTTTTTTTTATGTAGAGTTAGTAATTACCTGTTGTTGGTTCGTGCGCGTTGCTAAAATAAACTGGATTAGTGAAGTTATTTATTAGAAAACTAAGAAAAAGTTAGACTAACAGCGAGACGAAGTTGTTCATCCAAAGAACTTGCCGTGGTTGGACCGAAACCTTGCTCCTTGAGTAAAGCGGCGAGCAATGCGTCGTTGCTGTTTCCATACTCCGTGCTCAGAGATATAGGGGCTTTAGTGGCTTCGGAAACCATTCCGGTGATTTTAGTTTGCTGAATTAGTTTTTGTAAAGCTTCGTCTGAGGTTTGACCTGAAACCGAAGATACCAAAGAAAATAAACGTGCCAGTAGGTAATACAACTAATCTACCGCGATAGCTGTACGGAAGAGTCTTAGTATCTCGATTCAACGCATTTACAGTTTATAATTAAATAGCTTAGGACATTACTGCCACCATTTGATCCTAAATTAATACAAACATTTCTCTATTATCCATCTTTCTATTAGAGAAAACCACATCAGAATCGGTTACATGGTTTAGAAAAGATAAGTGCAAAAATAGACAGAGGTGGCGAGCGACTTTTTCTTATACTAATTAGTATCTATCGTAGTTTCTGTCTAAATAGACAGATTTGATAATCACAAGTAAAAAACATTACGCTAATGAATAATGAGCTGCGTTCACGCTTATATTTGCTTAGTAATTTATCAGGATAGTGGAGTATGCTGTATGTTCATAAAAATAGGACTACCGTTCCACCTATAGCTGCGGCGAAGCAATCATGCGCTCGAGTTTAAAGGATAGAACGGCCATTACATAATTCAACACGTCATTTCTAATCCTCCCGATCTACTATCGGTGCTTTAGGTACGACAAGCACCGGTCATCGTTCTCGTCGAACCCGTCGCTAGCGACAAAAGGTTCGGCGAGTAAATTAACCCACAGACACAGCCCACTGAGTTTCTCGCCGGATCTTTGCAGGGAGTTTCCGATTCGATGGTAGATTGTGCTAAGCACTGCTTTCACTAGGGCAACGTCCACAGATTAAAGCTCCGGGGCTCACCTACTTGCTCGGTTAAACTGGCATAGCCCTCAAGGCTTCTTTAAGCTTAGGTATGGAAAAAAAATTGAACCATTGTCTTAAAGTGGGTTGTGCTCTTTCTGTTAGCCTGATAGCAATTTAAGCGGTAAACCGAGCTAGATTGTCATCTAGAGCAATCAGAAAAAAACGTGAATTTGAATTTCTTCTAAAATTATTCTTAAAATAAAAAAACTATGTGTACTTTTATGAAAGAACATTACTCTCTAATAAAACATCGACATTATACTGAAAAAAAAAAACATACCAGTAGCTGTGAGCTTGCTTCTCTGAGTCGTAGGCTCCTGTCCACCCTGCAATTGTAGCAAGGTTTGTAACAATTTACCATCATCCCGCATAGCCTTCAAATCGTTTTTTACAACTATTCTAGCACCGAAAGGTAAATTAGTTTTGTCAGTTGTTTTAGTAAATACTTTAGCGTTAGGGTTCAGTGTTAATTTGGCATAAGGTTCATTCAAAGGCGACGGGGACGCAAGAAGGTTCGACACCGACTTTAAATCTTCATTGACATTTTTTGGTAAATTTGGACTCACGTTTGTTGTGCTCTGTACAATGTCTGGTAATGTTGGTATGTTGAATTTAGATGGATCTTGCCCTGTAGCCTTTATCAAAGCTTGTAACAGCTTCGTGTCTTCTTGGAACTGTTTAATGTCATCCTCAATTGATGGACTATATGTGAACGTAGTTGTTGGAATCGTGGTGGTTGTAGGTCTAGGAGTAGTTGTAGTTGTAGTGGTTGTGGTAGTAGTAGTAGTGGTAGAAGGAGTGGTAGTTGTAGTGATTGGTATAGCGTTGTTTGCGTTGTTAGCTATATTTTTTCCTGTACGAACAGATTCAGGTTGTGTGCCCGTTTGTATCTCGTTGAGACTCCTTTCAACAGCGAGGGCTATGATCCGATTGGCTAATGCTGCTTCTGGTTCTTGATTATTGTTCGTCTTTAAGACGGTTTTCTGAAAAATCACCAAGCTTTCGCTATTATACCAACATCTTACAAAGAGTTTACATAATTACTGTAATAGCCTACAATTAAACATACTTATGACCTAAATCACAATAATTAATTGTTTTTCCCTTGAAAGTAGACGAACACACGGCCCACCTAGTGTTGAGTGGCTATTGTCACTCATGGACCTCAGCAATGCCAGAGGTAAAGCCATGCCGCTGACTACCGACCCAATATACAAAGTACAGGGGTTACTTTGTGTTAAACAGAAACATATTACCTAACTATGTCATTACTTAGTTAAAAAATAGTTACCAAGTTGTTCAGGAAAGCAAGATCCTCTTCGACAGAAAATGTAGATGTACTGGGTACATCAGTCGTCACAGTGAATCTTGTACTGGATATTCTTTGAGCAGTGGGTGCCGTTGTAGATTCAAAATTTCGACCTGTAGTTGTTCTTGGATTGAACGGCGGGAACGTTGTAGATATCCCAATGTCCTCAGTGGTACTAAACAAGCCGGGCTGTAAGGTAGTAGATAACGTTCTAGGTACAAATGTTTTAGTTTCAGGCGCTTTCGTGGTTGTATACACGGGCCTCACTCCTAATGGTGTTGTAGGGTTTGAGCTTACTGATGTCGTTCTAGGATTCGAAGAAATTCGTACGTTAGATGTCACTCCAGATATCACAGGCGTATTTAAACTGCTCGGATTCTGGCCAGTGGCTTGCAAGAGAGCCTGTAATAGCTTAGTATCTTCTTGGAACTGTTTTATATCATCTTCTATTGATTGTGTGGTTGATGGGCTGGTGGTAGTTGTAGGAAAAGTTGTTGTTGAACGTGTTGTAGTTGTGACTGTAGGTTGTGTTGTTGTCCTAATACTATTTAAATCTGGAATATTCAAACTATTAGGATTTTGTCCTGTCACTTGTAATAAAGCTTTAAGTAACTTAGTGTCTTCTTGGAATTGTCTGATTTCGTCTTCAATGGAAAGAGTAGTGGTTGTTTGTGCTCTGGCCGTTACTGGAGCGGTATTTCCACTTTGACCATTAGCGGAAAGTAGAGCTTCTAACAGTTTCGCTTGGCTTAATGACTGAGGAGTGACCGGTATTCCCGTGGTAGGTCTAAAAGTTGTTGTTTCACCCAGCAATATTTGATTAGGGTTGTTCAATAGATTCAAGTTCTTAGGGTTTCGGCCTGTTCCTTGAAGTAGAGCCTGTAATAGCTGTAGATCTTCTTGGTATTTTTTTAAATCTTCTTCGATACTAATTGTTGAAGTGGGTATCGATGTTTGAGCAGTTGACGGAACTTGCGTTGTTGTCTGTTGCAGCGTGGTCGTGGCTGGCGCTAAAGTTGTTGTAGGTGCTGCAAACGTAGTCGTAGGTGCAATGATTGTAGTTGTCGGTGGTACGGCTGTAGTCGTAGGTGCTATAGTTATGGTTTTAGGTACCGACGTTGTAGTTGTTGCTACAGTGGTCGTTGTAGGTATCGTCGTTGTAGTTGGTAGCATTGTACTTGTAGACAATGTAGCTGTTGGTGCCATAGTCATTGTCGATGGTGCAAATGTTGTAGTGACCACTGTAGTGGGTGCCTCAGTTGTTGTAGATTCAACATTATTAACAACAGTACTTTGAGCTATAGTTGTTGATTCAGTTGAAACGGTCCGTGTTTGTAGAGTTTCAGTAGTGCTTTCAATCATCGATGTTGCTGTCACTATTTGGACCTCAGCTGGTACGGTGTTGGTTGTAGGTGATGCCTTTGTAGATGCTAATTTTAATACGTTTGAATTTTGAGATGAAACGGTGACTTCATCGATCGGTATAAATTTAAATATAGCATTTTGATCACCATTACCCGGTTTTTCGGTACGTATTTGTTTTGTCTGGAAGTGATGTATAATTATCAGTATATTGTTTTGGTTAAGTTTTTTTTTTTTATGAAAAGTAAAATAGCTTTAAATAGATTTAGAACCAACACCACTTACCTTTTGAAAATCANTTTGAGATGAAACGGTGACTTCATCGATCGGTATAAATTTAAATATAGCATTTTGATCACCATTACCCGGTTTTTCGGTACGTATTTGTTTTGTCTGGAAGTGATGTATAATTATCAGTATATTGTTTTGGTTAAGTTTTTTTTTTTTATGAAAAGTAAAATAGCTTTAAATAGATTTAGAACCAACACCACTTACCTTTTGAAAATCAAAATTAATGAAATCTTTATACCACAGCAAGAAGACTACCAATACCAATTTAGCCGAGTTACTGGAAAGTATTTGGAAATTGCAGATAATTTGATGATGATTTAGTTATAGATAAGTGCGCATAAGAATCATATAATAATAAATACACGACTGAAATAATGATATACCTCCGGATCAATATCCAGTGTTAATATTCTTGGTTCACGAGTAGAGCTCGTCATGGATGATATGACCATCTCCTCTTTAGCAGCTGAAGATATACTATTAAGCAGAATCTCATCAATAGAGGGTAGCATTGTTGATGTGCGTAAACTCAATACATGCGAGGCAGTGCTTTTTTCAGCAGGCGGCTTATTTGTGGCAGTTATTATACCCAATGAACTGCTTTTAATATTAAGTGCTGATGAGGGTATCTGCAATTACGAAATATAAAGTTACACCTTGCCATGTTATTTGGCAGGCGTAATAATTGTGATAGGCATGCAGAGCTTACAGACACCGAAGAAACCCTTTTCATGCACTGCTCTCACTCCATTGCTGCTCGCTGCAAGTGAAAAAGCGTCAAGCATGGCATCAAGCTAAACAATGTAAAGTCGGTACCATATTTTGTTGGTTATTTACAGTGTCGATGGTTAAGCTGTTTTCCGTTCCGTTATTTGATGTGTCTGTGGATGTCACAGTATTATCGATATTAGTGGATACTCGGATAGGGTTAGACCGCGGTCTGACAATGGCTGGATTATTATGGATGGGGCTGTATGGGTTCCTTAAACTCCATGGACTGATTGGTAGTACGTCAATTTTTTGCATGACTCGTGGCACTCTAGTTCCATTTGGAAATTTTCGTATTATTGTGTTATTAGGTAGCACGCCGTAAACTATATACGGGCTGGCCTCTGTTAATGATTCCAAAACATTGTCGTTAGGGTCTTTACGTACCACTGTGTTATTCGGCAATATTCCGAAAATGACAAAATCTTTTTTTGGTATCGTTGTAGCAAAGTTCGCTTTATTGGAAGGTGTTGTGGATAGGATTGTTGTGACGGCAGATGGTTCAGCTGTCGTCGTCTCAACAGCTGCTTCTGTAGTGGTCTCTTCAAGAATTTGAGTAGTGATTTCTAAGTTAAATTGAGTTGTTGTTTCTGTGGCGGGCACAAAAGCAGTAGTCTCAGTATTTTGCTCTGTGGTTATTTCTGAATTGCCTGTATTTGTTATTGTTGTACCTGATGTTTCTGGTGTACTACTCATTGTTTCTGTCTGTTCTGTAGTAGCTGTGGCAGTTGTGCTTGGAAAAGTATCAATATTGTCAGTGAACGTTGTTACAGGTACATTTGTCACAGTGGTACTGGCATCAATAGATTCATCATCAGAACCAAAACGAAATGATAAACTATCAAATTTTGAAATTGTTGTTGTTTCAGGTACATCAACAGAATTTGTGGAAGCTAATGTTGTAGTAGCTGCCAATACTGTACTTTCTTTTAGATCTTGAGTTGTTGTCGTTTCGGCTTCTAAAGGTAAGCTTCTCACGGATAAGGTTGGGGAAAAAGTAAATGGAGGGAATGAAGGAGCAGCTAAAGGAGAATTTGTTATGTCGGTATTAGTCACAGTCGAAGTTGTAGATGTCATATTATTCATGATATCTGTCAAACGCTCAGATAAATTCATGTTTTGAGAAACGCTCGCTATATCACTTAGAAGAGGTGGTGATGCTAGTTCATCATTGTGCTGCCTGATTAAATCTTCGATCATTTTTAATACTCTGGCTTTTTTCGATAAAACCCACAGTTGGAAACGCGATATCTGTGATGGATCTTGAATATTGATTTCATCTATATTTGGTGTCGGTGAAGATATGAGAGGGAACGCGTTCCTATTTTGTAAAGTATTCCAATTATTTGAATTTTCATCTAAATTGTCTTTCTCTAAGTCGCGCGCAGGGAGATCATCGATTCGGTAGTTGGTAAGGAATGGTGCAGGAATTTTTTCTTCGAACTCGGTTCTATTATCTTGAGTGACAGACGACGTCAGCGGTACAGTTATTGAAGTCGTTGCTTCAGTTGCCAATGATACAGGTGGCTCATTCATGGGAGTAACAACAACTGCTGAAGTTGTCTCACTACTAGATACAATTTGTGTGTTTTCAGTAACACTACGTGTCACATTTGTGTTATTTACAGTTTGGGTAGGTATATCTACATCATTTTTAACTAGTGTGTTACTACTATCTACAGTGATATTTACATTACTGCCAATCGCTACATTTTGTGGAAAATCAATATTTACAGAGTCAATGTTAATGTCAATATTTTCTGTATCCCTTAAGTCCTGCAGGCTGTAAGGAGTGGTATTTGGGACAAAATCAGCGTTCTCAAGAGAATTTGCAAGACCATTTAAAGCTCTAGGAATTAGATTTTTCAACAAACTGGCCATATCGCCTGAAATTCTAGATCTACTATCCTCGTCCATATTTTGTATAATCTCCTTAATGTTATTAGACAACATGCTCGTTAGTTCTGATGATACTATACTATTATTAGCTAACAAAAGATCAGATACAGTATTATATACCATAGTTGGATCAGTCGGCTGGATTGAAGTTGCCTGTGTAGTAGTCGTAGTTTTGTCTGTCGGCCTTTCGGTGTCTGAATACAACACCTTAATAGCAAAAGGTCTCCTTGCGGAAACAGGAGTGGATGGGGGAAGGGTGGGGGTTGGCAGTGTATTCACAGGGGTGATATTTTCATCTTGCGTGTTTGGTGATTGCGTAACACTAATTTCGGTCATAGTGTTAATCACATTGGGTGTGGCTTGATCAGTGTTCTGTACAGATTTAGTAATAGTGCTTACATTTACGGCAATAGCTGTACGATTGTCTTGAGTTGATATGCCTTGAGCACTATTTACATTAACATTACTCACGCTATCGAGTATTTTTGTTACATCTGTATTAAGGATTGGTGGTTTCGTTACTTCAGTTGTAGTAGAAATTCTGGGTTTTGGTGTCGAAGTAAGAATTTCAGCTAAAGCATCAAAAATTGAAACTGTAACTGAAGGCGAATGATTGGTCGCCTCAACGTTCATTATATGTGATTGTTTCACCAGACTCTCTGAAAGTCGCAAGTCTGCTGAAGATAGTGTCCTTCGTGTCTGACTAATAGAAAAAGCATTCAGATCTGGCCCTAATTGTATTTCTTCTCCCTCTACCTGAAATAAGAAGTAATCTCACCCATATAAATAGAAAAATAGAAAATGAATTTAAAGTTGCATTTAAGTATTGCAGTAAAACCCTTTTTGGAAATTCGTGCACAGACCAAAGCCTCTTTATAACATTCGGAAATGAACAAGTAAAATAAAAGAAGTTAGTGATAATAATATTTAGAAAGAAATTTAAATGAAAATGAATTTCTATTAAAACAAGGCACAAAATGTTTACATAGTTTAATGTCTTAAATGTTAGTGAACACTACACTACAAATTATTCATACATTAGTTAAATGATATAAGCTTAAGCGTTAAGTTTTTTTTTATTAATTTTGAATTATAATCTTAACGCGAAAACTTAAAAAATATTGATTTGTTCCAAAGAGATGTTCCAAGCAGAAAACAATTCTAACTTCTGTAATAAAATGCTATGATACACAATCTCTTTAAAACTAATCTGCAACCATTATATTACAAAAGAATGTGATTGTAAATGATGTATGTGAAACAAAATTATGAACTAAATGATTCCATTAACCCGTTCTGTGGATGATTCGTGTTTGCGTTTTGACGTCATTACGTTCTGTCTTGGTACTGACTTTGTAGCCACATCTATTTCCTCCCCAATGAACCATTTAGGCTCCTCTATAGACTTTGTCAACAGGTTGTCAGTGACGTAGAATTTCAGCCACGCCTTTAGCAACGAGAAATTTCATTTGTTAGTATAAATTTTTGAAGCTCTTTTTATAAAAAATATTTCAATTTAGCCATTAGATGCTAACAAAAATCTAATGTGGATTCACTAAAAGTATCAGTCCCTCTAGAAATTTTCATTTAATAATTATAACTAATTTCATATGGCATTTATAGAAATTCACAGACATGGTAAGCAATTATTTGACTTTTAATAAATCCACAAATAAAATGTCAATGGAATGGTAATGAAAATAGAATCAAAGAACTCAGTTATTGGATGGTATGAAAATGTTAATTACAGTATGATGAAGGTGCAACAATGAAACAATATTTTAATGCCAATTATAAAGGGGCTTTGCTCATAAAAATTTTGAAAAATAATGAATTTCAGGTAACTAGTGTTGCACTGAAATTGAAGGTATAATAAACTCGGGTCTGTGTTAGTTGTTTATTGGTACGTGTTGTGACTTTACTTACAGTTGATGATGTGACTGTGGGTACAGTGGGTTTGTAAAATGGTTTATCGACTACTGTGGCTCTGTATTTAGAACTGAACCTACTCTTAGATTTTTCAGGTTCAGATGTAATCTGTAAATATTCGTCAATAGGTCATAATAATAATATATTACTATGTTTCTAGGCTAATATAAAATATAATATGTACTTACACCATTATTAGATGCTTCAGTCGTTTTGGAGTAAGATTCACTATACTTTCTAATATTTCTATCTCTTGGTATGGTTGTTGAGCTTTCAACATTTACTGCATTTTTAGATTTCACGCGTTTCCGACCAAATTTTCTTGTTTGGATGTTTCTTACTGATGATGTTATAGACGTAGATACCCTTTGTTTCGATTCATTAGAAGAAGGATTTTCATCTTTATAATTAGCATGAAATTTGTATCTGTCGGAATCCATTCGCGCAGAAATTGTGGGAGGAGCTGTACCCATAGCCATGCTTTCGGAGTCTTCTGCCACAATAGATACTTCATTAATTGTATTATTTTCTTGGGATTCTTTACTATTATTGGTTATAAGGACATCATTTTTGCCTTCTGTGTTAACTTCTTTTGGTTGTTCAGAATTAATAAAACTGTCGTTTGATTTTTTTAAAAGCGTAAAAATTAACGGCATATCAGCAGTATCTTCTACTTTATTTTGTACAGGTTCGACAACTGGCTCGTTTCCGCTTTCAGTAGGGGAAGTAATATTTTTATTTAGATTTTTTCGAAGTCGAGAATAATAGGACGTTTTTGGTAGAATAGGTTTTCTCTTTATGTTTGCGAAATTATCTTTAGATTTTTCAGTTACAACTGATATTTCTGTGCTGCCAGCAAAATTTATAGATGAAAATTTTCTCGAGAAATTTGGTGGTCTAACAAAAGATTTTCTTCCCTCTAAGTCTTTCGATTTGGTTGAACTCTCTACATTGGGTGTTTCTGTTGTAGAAACCTTAACTTTTCGGTTGAATTTTACTTTGATTGGTTTTTGATTTGAGTACGGATTTGATGATGACGAAGAGACCGTTCGGTTTCTTGAAACAAATGTTTTTCTCGAACTGGTATCGACTATGGAAGGTTTCGTCTCCTCGGGTGTTGTACTTACATCGTCCAGCTTATCATCAACTCTTTCTTGTATATCTTCTTCTTGTATATCTTTTTGCTTACGGAGCTGTAATGTTATATTGCAAAAATTTGCAAAAATGAATACCACATTTTATTAGATTGTTAGATTATTTACGTTTAATGTAATATCACTGGGATATATATATTGAACTTTATAATTAACAAATAATTATACGAATAGATTAAATGGGTAGTGACCAATAATTTATTTGCTAAATCTTTCAAAATTGTGTTAGTGTTAAGTAGATAATATGGTTATGAAATGTTTGTTACCCTAGAGTATTTATTTTCAGCTGGGCCAGTTTGAGTGGATTGTAGTGATGGAGTATACGTGTTGTAAACTTTTTGTGATGCTTTCACGGACAAACTCTCGATAGGCGGAGAGCTCGCTTGTGTCTGAAAATGTGACGTGAAAATGCCAATGAAAATGTGTAATATTATTTCGGAGTCTTTCTTAATGGAAATAATCTAGGGGTTACATAAGCAATGTGGTTAACTAATTTTTTTTTGTCATAAAGGTGAGTTAGGTAAAATTAGTTGCACCTTGACCGTTATGATAAGATGAAACTCACCGATGCATTCTTAGATTGAATTAACGCTTTAAAGCTTGGTGGATAGTTATCGTCATCACTGATTTCTTCCGTTTCTTTAGTTTTTGGTGGAGAACCTGAGGATCTGATGCTGGGCTTCCTACGACTCAATGGACGTCTTATCACTTTGGTTACCTTAAGGGTTGTAGTTTTCAGCTTATTAGCTTCAGTACTTTGAGAAACGATACGTTCAACGATCGGCGCGAAAGTTTGCGCTTCAGATTGACTAGTGATTTCCTTTCTCTGACTAGACTTCACTGCTTCATTTCGTTTCATCAATCCTTCACCAGTTAGATTTGCATCAGATTCTGCGGGTCTCGTTCTAAATCTCAACTTTCTAGCATTTCTTATGTCTCCTGTTCTTGCTGTTGTAGGTTCTTTATCAGAGACGGAAATTGAATTAGTCGTACCAGAACTGTCGAGGTCCAAAGGTCGAGTGTTAGTTCTTGTGTTAATACGCCCACGACGACCCCGTGGTACTATAGCTTCTGTTGTCGGTGTAGCTGAACTTCTCCTCCTAAATTGAGTTGTAGAGGTTATTTCTTCTCTGGGTACGATTTTAGATATATCGTCTAGGTTTGAGTTAATGACTTCTAATTTAGATTCATCGATGGTTGGTGAGGAGGTTTCTAAAGTAGTTTGGGTTACTTGCGGCGGCCGTCTGCTGACTTGCCTGAATCTGCTCCGAGCGACGTTCTCCCGCGCTACTATCGGTTCTGCTTTTACTTCGATTTCGACTGGTCGGCTTCGAGATCGACTGGAAGTCCTTCGCGAATCGAATCGTTCGTTGTTTTCTTGTGATTGCGCTGATTCGGACGTAGCCTCTATCGGCCTGTTCCGGGTTCTCGTTCGGACAACGTCACGTGGTGTGGTTTCATCCCGCCCTCTGCTGTTTCGAGACCTGAAGGTGGGTTGGGCTTCAGGCTGGTTGGAATTAGATACACTGTTGACATCAGGAGCTGAAGGGCTGGGTAGCCNTCGCGAATCGAATCGTTCGTTGTTTTCTTGTGATTGCGCTGATTCGGACGTAGCCTCTATCGGCCTGTTCCGGGTTCTCGTTCGGACAACGTCACGTGGTGTGGTTTCATCCCGCCCTCTGCTGTTTCGAGACCTGAAGGTGGGTTGGGCTTCAGGCTGGTTGGAATTAGATACACTGTTGACATCAGGAGCTGAAGGGTTGGGTAGCCTTCTGCTGGTTCTTGTCAATCCCTCTACCTGAAAAAAAAAAGAAAATACATTCAATTTTCCACCTTTCTCAAAGTTTAAAATAATTAATGGACATCTAGTGGATAAATTACAAACAATTTACAGTTGCTTATCTAATAATAAAAATAACAATCATTAGTGACAAATTAGACTAGCAAACAATAATATTATAATAGGTCGATCTAAGCTGAAAGTGATACACACAATGCGACTAAACAATGCATTATGAAGCAACACTACACAGCACGGTACGAAGAAAATCAACTTAAAACAATGCTAGTGACCAGCGAATGGAACTGAATGTTATTGTTATTTAATATCACATAACTTTAGATTGTCGTTTGTTGTTATATTGTCTGCGATCGTAAAACGCTTGGTACTTTCATAAACTGCATACTTTACAATCACTGAACAGCCATTTTCAATTCAATGAAATACGGAAAGTTTATTTGTCCACAGCTATTTACTCGTTTCGTCTTCTTATATTAGGAAACGGATAAAACAACCAGAAGGTTGCTTTAATTGAGGCTATACAACCTCAAGCCTTCAAATGCACTTTTTTTTTTCAATTTTATGTCGATATTTTTTCTTCTTTACACAAAGAATTTGCTGATAGGCTTAATAGCTGACGATCGGATACACAAATTTCTTTAATTCACGAAAAGGACAACACAATTACGCACCGCAACTGGTGGTAGGACTGCCCTCCCTTTTTCTGCCGTGAAGCAGTAATGCGTTTCGGTTTGAAGGGTAGGGCAGCCGTTGTAAATATACTGAGATCTTGAATCTTATATCTCAAGGTGAGTGGCATTTACGTTGTTGATGTCTATGGGCTCCAGTAACCACTTAGCACCGGGAGGGCTGTGAGCTTGTCCACCCATCTAAGCAATAAAAAAAAATGTGGTATCGTGGGACACCGGATAGGAACGAAGTTCCTAATTATAAAAATATTAATTTTAAGTTCTATTCGAAGTATAAAGAAAATAATTATTCGGGTATACATTTTTATTATGATTTTTTTATTGATAAAAATAAATAAAAAATATGTTACTTTTTGTACGTTATTACAAAGTTAAGTCGTACACTGTGTGCATTACTAATAAAAATCTTACGTTACGGACGTTTTTCCCGGTTAGGGTGGGTACCCCTCCGCATCGTCCCATAAGGAACTTCGTTCCAAAAAAAATAATTTTCAATCAAAACGAAGTGCCCATTTTTGAGACACAAGGGTCCAGAGCAACAGTTGCTCTTGGCGTTCTGTGGCTTGACCTTCCAACTACATATATCCGGCTCCAAAACGCAGGCACTTGCACTTGTCCATACGTCACACGGCCTGGGCGACAGCCTTATGGCCTTGAGTCCGATACAAAAGCATTAATTAATCACCTATTTTGTAAGGAGCCGAACTTGATCGTGCCGTGCAGAACAATTTCACACGCGGTTGGTTTCGGACAAAGAAATTGAGTATTTTTGCATTTCGAATATTTATCACGATGCTGTCTATGCATATAAATAAAATTGGAGTATCTGTTTCTAATATTGAAATGACCGCATTTTACTGTATACGGTATGCATACCGTACATACACCAAAATAATATTTTTTACAATTTTTCTCTGTCTGTTTGTTCCGGCTGATCTCTGGAACGGCTGGACCGATTTGGCGGGTCATTCAATGATAGGTAGCTGATGATATAAGGAGTAACTTAGGCTACTTTTTTTAGACTAGGTTTGCCCCGCGGCGTCACCCGCGGTACGACAATAGCCGCGGGTAACATCACGGTACTCAGCTATGTAATTATAAAATTTATTGTTTCCGAAGCGAAGGCAGGGCGGGTCACTAGTTAGTAATATAGTTCATTTGATAACTGCGGCTTTCTTGATGATTACAAGATTGCAATTACAAAATTTTAATAATTTAAAGCTTATTGGGAGACCAGGTGAGTAACACCTGTTTCGGTCAACATCAACACCACCACCACCTGTTTGTTACAGCTATCTGTATAGCTGTAACACAACTCAATTGATTAAATTGTTTTGCGGGCATGGTTTGCTCCAGTAACGCTTAGCATCAATAAAACTGAAGATTAAAAACTATGAAATTTAAATGTATCCTCCTCGTCCTGTCATGACAGTCTTCATGTCTGAGGGTCATGACCACCTCCATCCGTGACTTTTGCCATCAAGCTTTTGTGGCAACTCATACTGTCTTGGGCCACGGGGGCAGTGTCGTAGACGTTGGCCTCAAGGATGCTGCTGATCTGGTCATCAATAAAAAAAATTATTGCTCTTGTAGGCAGTCGAGCATACGGCCCACCTGATGGTAAGTCGTTACCGTCGCCCGTGGAATATGGCAATGCCAGGGGCAGAGCCAAGCCGCTGCCTATTGTAATTAAATAAATAAGCTGGACTGAACACAAGTGATCAGAATTAAACAATGTAATACTTTAACTGTAACAAATCCGCTTGCCCTCATTAAGTCTAGCACGTGCACCATTGACTATTATTACAAATTATACACACACATTAAACATATGTATAGAACACATGTTACGCGTTTTAAAAGATATTGTGTTAATAAAGCACATGCCATTTACCTCAATGGGTCAATAGAGACTGATTATACGAAATTCAGTTAAGGCATAATCACGCTTAATCGCAAAATTGCGGTCTGTTTTGTTGCAAACCTTAAAGGCTATGACCAGGTCTCGAGTTATTGAGGAATATGTATATCGCAATAAATATGATCCGCATTAAATATTTACTGTCATAAACATTCGCGTGTGGTGCCTTTTTAATTTTTTAATTTTATTGTTTAAATTGGTGGACCAGCTCACAGCCCACCTGGTCTTAAGTGAAATATGAGTTCTAAGATCTCAGTAGAGTTACAACGGCTGCTCCACCCTTCAAACCGAAACGCATTACTGCTGCACGGCAGAAATAAGGAGGTCCTATCACCAGTAATTACACAAATTATAATTTGGCCGGTTTGATTTTTATTACACGATGTTATTCCTTCACCGTGAAAGTCAATCGTCAAAATTTGTTAAGTATGTATTTCATTAGAAAAATTGGTACTTGCCGGCGGGATTCGAACACCGGTGCATCGCTCAACACGAACGCACCGGACGTCTTATCCTTTAGGCCACGGCGACTTCAAAATGTGAACAACAACCTACAGCCTGAAATACAAATCCCTGTTGTTTTCATTGGTACTTCTCAGGCTCTTTTTGGACCTGATCGCAAAGCTCATATAACACTATAACATTCAATAAGTACGTAAAATTGCAAAAAAAATGTGTATTCTAATATAAGCTTTTAAATGTTGAATTGTTTTTATTTTCTTATTTTCTTATTTTTTTATTTTTTTATTTTTATTTCATTTACTTCAGATTTTGCATCCATATTACACTTCATTACACTGCATTAACATTTCATTTATACTAGAATTAAATAAAAATAATAACTACAATCTCGGACTAAAACAAAAGCAATAATAATAATAATAATAAAAACAAAAAATCAAATAATAATAATAATAAAACAAAAACTCAAAATTAACATGAAAACTACCTTAACCTAAAGGCTGGTTTGGATCCAGTGTGCTCAACATGCACACATGATAAGCTTTCGTTTTCTGGTCCGAAATTTAACAAAGCTCTTTCATGATCTCCTTGTAAGTCGTTTGAAGCACTCACTCTGGCCGTGGGCTCGGCAACGAAGTTCAGTCACGACGAAATCCCAGACATTGTTGCGAGACACGACCTCAAACAATGACTGTATAATATGACAATCTGTTAACGAATGTAGGCCTGCTATTAGAATAGTGACACTTTGATTTTACTGAACTTATTTTGTTAAGATACGCTCTGCAGTTTAGTTTTGTAAAAACTTCGGCAGATTTTCGAAACTATTGACAATATATGGCCCTACTACTATTTTGGCAACTTATATGTGGCTGTTCAATCGAATAAATGAAAGGATAATTTTTCAGCCACGACTTAAAAATGAGTCATTTTTAACCAGCTTAAAAAAAAAAGGTTTTTTTTATATTTTTTGCACAATTCGATGTTATTGTTGAGTAATCGATTATATTTTTTGTTTTTGGTTAATATTTAAAAATACTCGAGGTCCCGCAGTAGCCGAAATTCGACTATAACTAATAGGAATTGTCAGTTTGTACATTATTGTAATTGTATTTTATACCTCTATAATCACAAATTTCGCCAAGACTACACTATAAAAAATATTAATAAAGACAAACAATATTTAATCTATTCTCAATTTGACCACAGACGTCAAGAACAAAATTTTGACAATAAATAGTATGCATGCGTGTGTGCGTCAAATACATGGTATGTAGTGTGTGTAGTGTTTTCTTTATTGATTTAATGTATCCTTAATGCATTATTTTAAAAAAATGTTAGCATTGTGCACTTCTTCTCTATATTATCTATAAGTGTGGAAAATTTCATACTCCTCCGTCCGCGCAATTTTCGTAAAAAGGGATACAAAGTTTTTGCTTCACGTATTAATATATAGGTATTGGAAAATGCCAACACATTTAACAATAACTACATCTCTCGATGTTTTACAAAGATATTGACTGTAATACATTATGTAGGGTATTAAACTAAATTAATAATAAAATAGCACTTATATACAAATATGATTAAGGTGGGTTTTGGAAGGAAGGCCATTTTCAAATGTTTAACTTTGAATTTTGACTCATAATCTTCACTATATCATCCGCACGAAATCCAACGCTGAAGTTTACAACACATATCTATTGTTTCGATATCTTTATTCACAAACGCAATTATTCATGATAAATCACTATAAATACAGCATACTTAAATATAAATCAAAATAGAACAAAAAAATTATAATAATACACTTACAGTGTGCACTCAGCTCAGTGCTACGCAAGGTCGATAATTGGATCGCGAGATCTGTAATTTTGTGCCACACATATAAACTCAACATTCAATACTGATTTTTTTTTATTGCT